ATTGTAAATATTATGTTCTTTTGTTTTATTTTTGTTAGACATTTTTAACGAATGATCTATTAAATAGAATTCATCAACATATTTAAAATTTTAATATGGAGTAAGTCTTTCAACATACTAATAAGACAAACTACACTTATATAAAGGTTAAATCACACATACGAAAACGCATGTCATAGGCTAACAAGCTAAATTCGAACAATGAGATTTATAAAGCAAGTCAAATTGAACATGTCACGTGTTTGAAACTATGTTTTAACACCACATTTTGATCACTTGGATATTGAGGCAACACTAAATAATGTTTTAGTTTGCACGTGATTATGTGTGTTTGTAATGCAATTTTAAACATATACTTGAACAAAATTTGTCTTAACCTATTTGATTTTACTCATGCACTTACCTTTATATCTTTCTTTTTATATATGCAATCTCTTTTTTCTTTTAAAATAAATTATTTATATAATAAATTTTAGATTAATTCATATGTAATAAAATCATCATTAAGGAGAGAAATGAAAAGAATCAAAGCATATTATTAATATAAATAATTAATACACTTAAATATACTTTTAGTTTCAATAACATAAGTGAATTTTTATTTTGGTTTATGTAAAAAATATTCTTTATTTTTCAAAATTCTAAAATTTATAAACAATATTTTTAGTCATAATTTATAAAATATTTTTATCTTTATAAAATGAGTAAATTTTAATTTTGATCTTTATAAAATAATTTTTCTTTGATTTTCATTCTTTTTAAAATCTAAAGTTATTATTTTTTATCTCTAACAACGATTTTAAAGTATATAAATAATATTTATTTAAATGACTTATAATTTTTTTTATAAGTATTACATAAATATATTAATTGTAAATAACACCCAAAAATACCATTTAATTTCTTAATAAATAAACAAGTAGTTAAATATAATTACATAATAATAAAGACTAAAAATAATAGTTTAAATTTAGGAAAATAAAAAAACAATTTTTTTACGAAAATCAAAATTAAAATTTGGTCACTTGACAGAGACTAAGGCATATTTAAGTTTAAATATTATTATAATTTAAATATATTGGAGTAAATTGTGTTTGAGTGTGGAATAAATATCCATATCTATAATAGACAACCTATTTTTTCTTTCCCTTTTGGAGTGAATCAAAATATCTCCCAGTGAAATGTTAGGAGTTAATCTATCAAAATATCTATTTAAGGAGTTGAATTCTCCCGAGATATATTTTTCATGTGAACATATTATGAATCAAAATTCTAACCACGTGCTCGATTAAAGATAAAATTATTTACAAAAACATGGCACACTTTATCCGTAACCATCAACCTATTTACTCATTCACGGGAAACTCAAGCTCTTATAAACTTACAAAATCCGGATTTTACTTAGAATGAGAATGAAAGAAACACTTTATTTGTACATATATATATATATATATATATATATATGTGAATTGCTTCATTTTCTTTTTTCCATGTTTAAGGATGGCATGCAGTATAATTTCAACATCTTTTAAAAAAAGAATGCTAAAGTTACTCTTTACTCCAATGATTAACGAGTATAGATTCCTATGGTGCCCACATACATCACTTTCGCAACCTTTGCGTTTTTGTGCTACTTTTCCTGCCATGAAAGAAAAAACAAAAGCACAAAAGATGAAGCAGCAGTAGTGTGCATTATAAGATGGAAGAAGCCAAAAGCCACAGCCATAAAAGTGCGGTTAACTTCCCCGCAAGCATAAAACCGCGCAATGAACGCTTTGCTTTCAATGGAAAAGAATATTCATTTATTAACAACATTTTCCCCATCATTCATCACATAAAGATACCCAAAACTCCATACCCACGTCACGTGATCATGTTAATTTTCAATCTTGTAAATAAAAAAAAATATATCATAAAAATATTTTATTAAAGATAATATATCAATTTTTTTTTAAAAAAAATAACATTAACAAAACTAATAAATACTTCATAATAATAATAACAACATAGTTATCCCATTCCACGTCTACCGTGGTTACTATGTACCCAATCAATCTTTCTCTCACCCCTTTTTGGCCTTTGCTTATAAATCCATCTCTCTTTTTCCCCTTTGATCTTCTCACATTCACATTTATTTCTAGCTTTTGATTCCCTCTCATGACCTTATCCCTTGAGACTCAATTATTAATTTGCCTAACACACATCACACACAAACGGAAACGGGAAAAAGTGAAGAAAAAAAAAATGGACAGACGTATACGTATATATATAGAAGTAAAGTATGAGAGTATAAAACAGCTTGAGAAAGGTATACCCATACGCCCACAAGACATGCATGTTATATATATATATATATATTTAGGGTATGTGTGCAAAAGCTTTAGAAAGGTATGTGTGCAAAAGAAAGATGGGATGAGTAAAATTAATTTCTTTAAGCAAAAGATTCCTGCGGCACTCACCAAAGGAGGTTGTTCTAGCGGAAAGATAGAGCTAGTTTTTCATAATATGGCGAATTAAAATTTGACTATTCGTTGAAAAATGTGTGCATATTTACTGTGCGATTATGTTTTAATTTTAAACATAATTATCGATCTTCGAAAGGGTATACATATATGTGAGAAATAAAAATAAAAAAAAAAATAAAATCAAAGAACTATTATAATCGGTGAATTCCGGTCAAGACAATTCTGACATTCATTACTGTGTTGTGCAGAAATTCAAATCCTCAAGGAGCCTGCCATTTTGGTCATAGAAACAGTAAATTTGTAATTATTGTTGTGGAGACTTTATGGTTTATGTGGTTTCATGGTGTGGTTTGAATCAGGAAAAAAAAAACAACTAACGAAAAGACAGACATTAAATTTAATGTCGTTTTAAGATTTTTAGTTTTTAAAAAAATTCATTGTTAATTTGATATAGGAGTTTCAAAGAGAGAGTAAATAATGATTTAGAGTACAATTATATGCTAAAAATAGTCTTAAAATGTACAATATTTATTTTAGTATTAAAAGTTTATATTTGAAAAAAACACGTCTTTTGTGAGACTAGCTGACTAAGGAAGACTATCAATCTCAATAAAAATTTATAATGAAATTTACATCTTTATTATTATTATTATTATTATTATTATTATCATTATTATTATTATTAAAAAAGTAAAAACGAAAAGGAGAGAAAATAACTTTGTTTTGTGACAAAGAAAATAACTTTTAAAAACAAAAAATATATATTTTTCTTTTAATTTATTTTCAATTTAAATTTCAAAGTTTTCTCTCCCCTCTCGTTTTACTTTTTTCTTCTGTTCTAACTAAAACTCATGTTAATGTCTCACACTCAAAAAAAAGAAGAAAAAAAGAGGTAATGTTGAGGAAATGCTCTCCCACGGGCATCTTGTGCGCAAAATCAGGGTTTTTCACATGCTTCATCAACATGACTAATCGTGCTCACTCGGATTCCGGTCTCTAATATATCTATCACTAATCCAACTATTATGATCCATCTAATCACAAAGATCAGAATAGTATGCACGGTCATAAATTTGAATAATGGTGTTGTCAATTTAGTATTGGTGACTAAAAAAAATATATCCATCACTGCATTCATATATTAACCAAATTTTATTAAGTTTCATTAATGCCCTTAAACTAAATAAATAAATAATTATATAGTTTAGTATGATACAACTATTCATTACCACATTTATATATGAATTAAAGACTTAAATATGTTTTTAGTCTCTACAAAATAAGTATATTTTAATTTTTGGTCAATGTAATTTTTATTTATTTATTTTTCATCCTCATAAAATTATAAATTATTGTTTTAAAAGGTTGTATAACCATTTTAGGTGATATCTATAATTGCATAGGATACTTTATTTGTGTGTGATATCTCTAATTTTTTTCAAATTCTTAAAATAAGTTTTATACATATACCTTAAAATGCTTATTAAGGACAAAAATAATAATAAATTTAAATTTTAGAGAAATGAAAATCAAGTAAAAATATTTTACAAAAATTAAATCAAAATTTAATATTTCATAGGGATCAAAAATAATATTTACAAAACTTAGATAAATGAAAAACAAAGAAAGATTTTTACGAAGACCAAAATCAAGATATACAAAAACCAAATATATAATTAAGCTTACATTAAATCAAATTTAAATAAGTTTCATTAATACCCTTGAAAATAATTTATTTATTTATTATATAGGTTACAATGACTTAAGTATCTTAAAATTGTGTTAGACTACCAACAATGATTAGTTATTGGGTTTGAATCTCTCTAGGTAATGTTAACTATTAGATTTGGTTTAATAATAATATTACAATAAATATATACAAATTTATATTCAATTTTTATTGTTGTCATTAGAATCTTTCATATTAATCAAATAAAAATAATCAATTAAATTTTTCAATGGATGATAAATTTTTTTTATAATAAAAATGTGCCAAGTTCGTACAGTTACTCTATCTAGACTCAATTATAAACAGAATTAACTAACTACTAACTAGTAAGTTAATTAAAAACTTAATTAATATTATTTAATTTTATTACTCTCAATTAAAAATATTTATTTTTCTATATTGCCCTTCATTAAAATTTGATATTAAAAATAAGAAAGTTATTATGAATAAAATTACAATTAAACTTGATATGATGACATTAAATTTGGGACGTGATCAAAATTAAGCATCATGCCTTGCGGTGTACATGAAATTTTGAAAGGAAACAATAGTCGTACTGTGTTGGAGGTAGGCACTAGCTAGGCAACCGGAACCTTTAAATTCACAGGTTGGCAAAGAAGAAGAAAAAAAATATACACAATTTTCTTAGGAATTAATGCTCCGCACTGTTGGTGGGGTGTCACAACTCACAAAAATATATTCGACATATATTATGAAGCAGAAGAATCAAAGGAAATTCATAACGAGTGATTGAATAAATTTTTGTTGGCAATATCTACAAGAACAAATGGATAGGAATTAGGAAGTACTCGGAAGAATTCAACTAGATTTAATAATACAAAGAAAATTCTGATTTGTATACAGAAGCGACGAGTTGAACATGGAATTAATAAATGATGACGCAGCTAAAAAAAAATCAAGGAAAAGAATAAAACAAACCCACTAATATAACAAAAGAATATAGATGTACACGATTCATCAAGTCCTTCCCCTCGATATAACCTATGAAATAGAAAAACTAATTAACACCGAAAAGGCCTGGATATCATAAATCTATACAGTGTATGTGTACCCAAGAACTTTCCTATCATGTCTAATAATGTGTATGATCATGTTTATAATGATAAAATGAGTATGTAGAAGACTGTTTGAAAACCAACCAAAAGAAAAAAAGTATGTAATCACTATGCATGATGCTTATGATCCCTAAATGAAAAAACCATGGATCTGCTAACTTGCTTTAATTTATATCTTCATGACACTTTTTCAGTAGTCTTCCCACTGCAGGCATTCCAAATCTGAGAGAGGTGCAACTGAAGAAGGACCCTCAAAATCCTCGTACAATGCCCTATTTCCTCCCATGTTGTTGTTATTGTTGTCTTGCTTCGAAACCACCGAGGATGTGTCAGTGTTTCTGTCGTTGCTTAAGCCTGTGTCTTGTGAGTGGTTAGAGGAGAATTGCTCCATCTTGCACTGTTTCTCCAATTCACCTAAGTGGTCGTTGTTCTTGGCTGAAAGGGCTCTTAGGATTGCTTGATCATGGTTGTTGTTGTTGTTGTTTCCAAAACCTGTTGCAACACTTGGCATGATGGAGCTTTTGATCCTGTTTTGGTGCATGTAGTAGTCATTGAACATGTTTAAGGGCTGTGAGAGTGTGTTGTTCCCCATTGGGTTAACGTTGTTGCTGAGATTGGCTTGGTTGGAGTTTGAAGTGTAGTTAATTGTGGGAATCTCGTAGGTTCTTTGGTGGTGGTCTTGTGGCTTCATCAGAAGGTGGTGGTGGTGGTTGCTGTTGATGGAGAAACTGGGAAGATAATAGCCGTCTGATTGTGATTTATTTGATGAAAGTGGGTTAGTGGTGGTGTGGTTGGTGTTGGCGTTGGTGTTAACATAAGTAGGATCCATGAGAGGTGGGAGTGAAGAATAATCAAGAAGATCATCCCCAAGAGAGTTTATCCTCAAAAGTCCAGGAATTGAGGTCTTTCTGAGATCTGTGTTCTTGTGAAAAACCCTTGAGACAACCCATTCATCCTGCAATAACATAGCCCAAAAGGAAAAAAAAAAAAAAAAAAAAAACAAAAAAAGCAAAAAAAGAAAACCGTTAGCTTTCTTGAGACAATTAATAAAACTAAAGCTATGTGATTAAAGGAAATACATGAAAGAAACTCACAAACTAACACAAAAAAGACACTTTTCTAAAAAGTAAAAAGGAGGGAAGGATGGGAAAATAAAAATAGTAAGATGAAAACAAGAACAAGAAAAAAGGGAAAAAAAAAGGGGTTCATTATTTTTGATACCTTTGCTGCCTTAGGAAGACTATAACTTGCAAATTTTCCTTCCAATCTGAATTCATGCATGACCCAATTGGTCTTCTCCCCCTTTGGAGCTCTCCCTTTATAGAACACAAGGGTCTTCTTCATACCAACAAGGTTCCCTTTCCCTTTGTAAATTTCCTTGTCTTTTCCAGTGGCCTTCCAGTACCCAGATTCTGTTGCTCTATTGGTTCTCATGCCAGTTGGATACTTCCTATCCTTTTGGCAGAAGAAGTACCACTCTTTCTCCCCTATCTTGGCTTTCTCTGCACAATCATTCATCAATAAAACATTAACTCATGCCACCCAATACTATTCCAAAACAATTATCAAATCATCACAAACAGAAGCTAAAAAAAAGTTACAACTAAAAACTTACTTGGTAAATCCCATGGTTCACACTTGTTCAAATCAGCCTCTCCAATAGCAATTGCACTGAAACCGCTATTCTTCACCTTCTCAGTGAGATAATAAGAAATTATCTCCTCATCAGTAGGGTGGAACCTGAAGCCTGGAGGCAAATCTAGAGGCTCTTCACCTTTGTTCAACACAATAGGCTCTTCCATCAAATCAACTTTGAACTATTAATCAAATACTATATCTTATATATAACACAAAGCAACCCTTTAGTGTATATATATTTTCAAGCTACCAAAAGAAAAGAAAGGTATGAGAAGAGAATAGATGAATTATTCTAAGAAGAAGAAGAAGTAGAAGAGAGCTTTTAAGAAAGTAGAACGAAGGGAAGATGGTGTGTTTAAATAGAGGAGCGTGTGCATATACATCCCACACACGCTGTAAGATCCGTGGTGTGCAAGGCACTTGCTGAGGAAGCCTACAATTGGTGTTTTGTTTTGTTTTTTCTTTATTATTATTATTTTTTCCCCTATGCTTTTGTTTTCAATATACGTGTATTTTATTGGTATATATGACGTATGCTCTATCCGGGTGGTGGTTTCTTCGCTATATCTACCCCTTTGAAAACGAATGTGAGAAAAGAAATGGTAAAAAAGGAGCTTTCAAAGCTTGTGGACCCCACTCTGCATAGGCTCCCCCCACTTTTTCATATTAAAAATTAAATGAAATATAACAACTTTATCCGCTAGCTTCAACCTAACTTTTGCACATTTTCATTTTTGTTTGCATCATCCATTAGCGGTCTATGTTCAAATCTCTGAAACAGTGGAGGAAGTAGAAAACAAAAATGAACTATTCCTCCTTTTCATGTCATAATTTTCCCACTATAATAATGTGTGCTATTGAAAGCAGATGTTGCTAGTTCTGCTACTACTTTTAATTTGATTTTCTCCACAAAGCTTTAGGTGGGTGGTGGTTGTTTCAGTTGGTAGCTAGCTTGGCTCAGCTGCTTCATATAATATAATTGTACACATTTGCTTCCTAACCTCATTGAAAAATTAGACCAACAATATAGATATCATACATTACATATATATCTACTGTTTATCATTAGCTAGTTTTTATTTATTTTAATTAACTAATTAATATGAAATATTTATAATGGAATAATGGTAACAATTAATTCAACTCCCCACAAACAAATGGAGAGGATAAAAGGCAGTGTCTGCTGGGAAGAATCCAAAGGCTTTCACACCAATAAGTCAAAAAGACTAAGCAGTAATACCAAAGGATTATTGTGAATTTTCCAAGAGCTTTCCAATGTTCCATTCTAAGCAGGCAATGTGTACGTGGTCTACCCTCTTCAATTTTTTGTGTTGATTTGTATAATGTGGAGCCTCTTTTCTTAATTAAAAACAAATATAAAACTGATCTTTACAACTGTTATCCCACCATCAGTAAAATAAAAATAACAATTTACAACTGTATCCCTCTTTATGAATTTATAAAATATCAAATGAAAGTAACATTTGGAAGAGTAGACTATGCACATGTGTCAAAAGGAGGTAAATATGGAATATTTTCTAATTTGATTTTTTTTTTTAAATAAGGTATGGAAATATTTGGCCTTTTGATATCACAAGTCACAACCAGGCTTTAAATTAAGATATAAATTTGATGGCTAAAATAATAAATCAAGGAGAGAATTAATGAATCTGTCTTACTCTCAAATCGAAATCAAATATATGGTTTTTATTATAATGTAAAGCACCGATAGCTGATTTTGTTGGTTTGGGAGAAAACAATGTATACAAGTCATTATCATTGATAAATATTTATTTTCACCACTTGTCATGTATATATGAGTACGATGGACTAGCCACTAAACAAACGGGGCTGAATATTGACACCATCTCTGCAACTTCCTTGAAGCTTCAAAACCACGATAAAAATGGTCAATTTATGAAGGATATGGAACAAAAAATATACATGGCAACAAATAACCATTTTAGTATCTAAATTATGCCGAAAATGTACCATTAATGTTAATAATAAAGAGAGATCAAGACTCATCAAAGCCTCACTTTTAGAGGGAATCAAAGGGGTGATTATGGCTAATTATAGTCATCTTTAACCATTGAAAAGGTCAACATGATTGGTTTCTTTCGTAAATTGGCTTTGGTGAGCCGTAGCTGCCGTCGTTAATTAATCAATTATTATTAAAGAGGAAAAAGAAAAACAAAAAACAACGCGTTGCAATAACGAGATCCAAGGGTGAAAAAGTGAAACATTCCGGCGCCGACATTGAAAACTAAGTTGTTTTTTGGTTAAGTATTACTGTTCCAATCCAACACCTCCACCACCACCTCCTCTTTGTTTCAGTCGTTGAATACTATTCCTATATTTTGCTGCTGTTGCATAGGAACTTGCACTAATGCCATTTGTTTATCAAAAACCAACCGGAATTAACTGACTATTGACTAGCTCTAACATTAATTAATGCATAAATTAAATAGTACTAGACTACTAGTAATTTAATTATAACAATTTTACATGTTATTTTTTATAATAAGATCGTTACAATCTATATCCACTTGACACGTGTTGACATTATCAGAATGAATGAGGGATGAGCTGGAAAATTATATTTTTACTATTTGATTATATATCAATGGTATTAATTAATGTAATTAAACGTGTCCAAATCGAAAAAGGGTGCAAGGATTAAAATGGGTACGCGCCCTCTAATGTTGATGCCACATGCCCCTCCCTCCGAATTTTGCGAGACAATATTCAAACCCCACCACTTGATACGGAATAAATTCCGCTGAGCACACTTTATTTTATTCAATATTGAGTTTGATTTGTTTTTGTGGTACTATATTAGGGATTAGTTTTTGAAAAATGGAGAAAATTAAATATAATAATTTGCTCAAAACGTGTGGACCCCTTCTTGGCTCCGACTCCGAGTATGCTTTCTGGATTACTATTATTATATATATTGGTGTGTAATGTAATAATAAAATAAAATAAGAAGATAGAGGGATGAAAGGGTGTTTTGGATTGGAATAGAAGGCTTGAGAAACTCTTAAAACTGTTTGACTTTTGCACAACGAAACTCAACCGCAAAAGCAAAAACGGAAGCATTGTCCAGAGTCCTCACAAACCCCAAACAGGTGACGTTTTATGACGCTACAGCGTGAATACTTGCGCTATGCTTCATTGCAAAGTAGCATATATAATGGAACGTGTAATACGAGTATGTTTTCTATTTTTAATTTAGTATATCAACTTTTATTTTTCAACAATTTATGTATATCAACTTATTCCCTTGTTTGCGAGAGTTTATAGTGATATGCCAATTGGTGTTATTACGATGGAGACAATCCTATTTGAGAACAATTTTTTAAAGTTATTTGTTAACTTAAAACAATTTCGTATTAGTTAAGTTAGACGATTGATAGTGTATATATCAGTAATATAACTACTTTAAGGTATAAAAATATATTTTAGAGAATATAAGTATTTATTGTTATTGATTAAAAATATTTCAAAAATAAAATTTTAATAGTTTCATAATTCATCATAGATGTTTATATTTTATTAGAATCTCATTTGTTAATTTTTGTTCTCGGTCTTATATGTTTAAAATACTAATTAATTACTAAAATTGACCTGGGTAAGACATTGAAATAGCATTTACAAAATTTTAAATTCGTCCTTTATTGTTGTGATTATGAGTTTCCTAATAAAAATATCTTATTTAAAATACTATCAAGCATTAAAGTGGAAGCTTCTATTAAAAAAAAGTTAGAAAATTTAATTTCTTATGTTGTGAAAGACTAGTATCTTTGGTAGATTGAACTAGGTAGCCGTCACTAGACCTAATTTTTTTAGTTAGTATTAATTATTATTCTTTTAATCAATGGTTATAACACAATTTTAATTAGAAATTTGATCTAGTTACTCTTCCTTTTAAAGTAGTTATATCCCATTGCACATTGATTGGCAATGAATGAAGAAATATGGACCATGTGATGAGAGCAAAGTGATGTCAGAAGACAAAGCTAGGGTTTGATTGTAGTTGGGAAGATTACTGTAACAAGCGACGTATAATCCTAGTTTTTTGTGTTTTGTTATCATGAATGGATGTGATTAATATTATGATTAATGGTAGGCCAAAGAGGGTGGGGTAAGGTAGCAGCAATTATTGGTCATATACTAACGTAAAGCGCAGCAATATCAGATTAGCGGGGAAGTGTTTTGTAGGGACCATTATTCATCCAAACAAATGAAAAAGATTACAGTGTTTCATAGGTTGAGACAATTGCCTTCAATCGGACAAATACATTCTAAAATGTTTCTACTTTACGGAAGAATAGTGAGAAAGAGGAGAAACAAACCCTACTATATATCAACTCACTATTTACACCATAATCAACGCTTACCCCTTTTCTGTTTTAATCACCCACGATATGATTTTTTATTTTTCGTCTGAATATCAGCAATGATATTGATAAGACTATCCTATGTTAATATAAATAATAATACATTTCTATCACAGTTTTTTTTTTTTTAATTTTTAAAAAGCATTTTTAATTTTTTATTTCTCGATTTTATGAATCTTCCTTAATTTTTAATGTTCATTTTTCTTCAAACCATTTTTGAAAGAGTACTTTTATAATTATGGAAAGTATTTTTGTCGAGGTGTGGATTTTTTTTCATACTTCTAAAAAATAGTTTCTAGAACACTAAAGAAAAAGAAGAAGGAGGAGGGCGAATGAAAAAGATAATTTAAAAAATAAAATTTATTTAAATCAGAAAATTTATTAGAATGGTATTTTAATATTTAAAAAATAAAAGAAAAAGAGGACATGTTTATTTTAAAAAATTATATATATATATATATATATATA